GGTCTTTGGACAATTGGCTCCCTCGGCTAAGAAACAGAGATGACCACTGGCCCCTAGAGGCAGACACAACTGGACAGGGGAAACTTCACCTTTCTAGGGAGAGCTGTGGGTTTTTTAAAGATGCATGAAAGTAGTAGTAGTAGTAATAATAATAATAGTAGTAGTAATAATAATAATAGTAGTAATATTAATAATAATAGTAATAATAATAAAGTTGGAAGGGACCTTGGAGATCATCTAGTCCAACCCCCTGCTCAGGCGGGAAACCCTATACCATTTCGGACAAATGGCTGTCCAGTCTCTTCTTAAAAACTTCCAGTCTTGGAGCATTCACCGCTTCTGGAGGCAGGTTGTTCCACTGGTTAATTGTTCTAACTGTCAGGAAGTTTCTCCTTAGTTCTAGGTTGCTTCTCTCCTTGATTAGTTTCCATCCATTGCTTCTTGTCCTGCCTTCCGGCGCTTTGGAGAATAGCTTGACTCCCTCTTCTTTGGGGCAGTCCCTGAGATATTAGAACACTGCTATTATGTCCCCCCTCGTCCTTCTCTTCGTTAAACTAGACATACCCAATTCCAGCAACCGTTCCTTATATGTTTTAGCCTCCAGTCCCCTAATCATCTTTGTTCCTCTTCTCTGTACTCTTTCTAGAGTCTCAGCATCTTTTTTATATCGTGGTGACCACAACTGGATGCAGTATTCCAAGTGTGGCCTTACCAAGGCATTGTAAAGTGGTATTAATACTTCACGTGTAGACAACTTGTAATTCTACAAACGTTGTAGAACAGTTCCCAGCATCTGCCACCATTAGCTACTCATCCTGGTAGCAGTTGATGTTTAGAAATATATGGAGGGCCACAGGTCACCTACTGAATACCTTGGCTAGGAGACTCTCTACACATTTTTTTCAGCATCCCTCCCAAATCACAGGCAGACTGTGGTAGTGCTGTGAAATGAGGGCTTCATAGAGCAAAAATAGACCCTTCATTCTGGACTACTTGTTTGGGCGGTTAGGCCAATCTACAGAGAAGAGCAACTACTGTGTTCTGAAAAAGCCAAACATTTAGAGAGGTGCACATATTTCTTACTAATGTGTTACTTTACTTTATTTATTTGCATCCCGCCTTCATTATTTTTACAAATGACTCAAGGCGGCAAACATATCTCAACACATCGTCCTCTTCCTATTTTCCTCACAACAACAACCCTGTGAGATGAATTGGGCTGAGGGAGAGGGATTGGCCCAAAGTCGCCCATCTGGCTTTCATGCCTAAGGCGGGACTAGAACTCCCAGTCCCTTGGTGATTGGCCCAAAGTCACCCAGCTGGCTTCATGCCCAAGGCAAGACTAGAACTCACAGTCTCCTGGTGATTGGCCCAAAGTCATCCAGCTAGCTTTCATGCCTAAGGTGGGACTTGAACTCACATTTTTCCCACTTTCTAGCCTGGTGCCTTAAACACTAGACCAGGGGTCTTCTAACTTGGCCCTTTTATGACTTGTGGACTTCAACTCCCAGAATTCCTCAGCCAGCCTCCATTTTGTTTGTTAGATTTAAGACAGGGGTCTTCAAACTTGGACCTTTTATGACTTGTGGACTTCAACTCCTAGAATTCTTCAGCCAGCCTCCATTTTGTTTGTTAGATTTAAGACAGGGGTCTTCAAACTTGGCCCTTTTATGACTTGTGGACTTCAACTCCCAGAATTCCTCAGCCAGGCATGCTTGGCTAAGGAATTCTGGGAGTTGAAGTCCACAAGTCATAAAAGGGCCAAGTTTGAAGGCCCCTGTACTAGACCATCCAACGCCTTGCCACGAGTTTGACTCCTTTTCCTGGAGAACGAAGAAGACATAAATATTTCCACCCAGCGAAGAGAAAGTAGATAGCTGTGCTTTCATTATAAAGGATAAATTTGGACTTCTGTGCTGCCAATGGAATTTGGCAAGAAGATGGGAAGAAGAATTGGCAAACGCAACACCGCCTTTGGGGACTGAGCACTGGATAGATCCCTGATTGCAGACACCACCACCCCTTTTGTGCGTAGGAATAAATCTTCAGGCTGGAGAGAACTTCGTTCAAATAATACCATTAAGACTGCAGAGAGTGGAAGCCGTTTCCTATGTGCAAAACCTTGCACTTTTTCTGAGTGAATGATTTTTATCGGACTGCCTTGATTGTGTTGTTCCTTTTTAAGCTGCTTTGGATTGCTTTTAAGTAGAGAAGCTGATCAAAACTCTTTAAGCGGAAGGAGTAAAACTTAATTCCAGTTGTCCCCACAGAGTTTCAAAACGTAATGCCAAGGTAAATATGGGAATGGTGGCCAGCTGAAGTATGAAATGTATCTCCCCACTGTGGCTTTGGCATGTGGTCAGTCATTTGGAGGGGCTTAGAAATAGTTGTGTTTGCTAATGTAAAAATGACTTTGCCTCCGAACATTGTTGTGCTTTAATTCATCTGGGGGAGGGAAAAAAATAAAAAGAGCTGGAATGGAGAAAGCGAGGAAGAAAAATGGTTGCAGTTCTGTAGGGCTTTCCAAGATTGTGTTGCATGTAAATTTTAAAAATGAGCCTGAGATTGGAGATAGAAATGAAACAGTATATTTCCTAAGCTACTTGAAGGCAAGGAGGGGAGAGAAATTGGTTCCATTCGTGTTTCAGTGCCAATGTGCTCAATCCATATTACCCAATCTATACATCAGCTTTCCTCAAGCAGCCATTGCATCTATCCTATTGCAGGGATAGGCAACCTCGGCTCTTTTATGACTCATGGACTTCAATTCCCAGAATTCCCGACTCAGGAATTCTGGGAGTTGAAGTCCATGAGTCATAAAAGAGCCCAGGTTGCCTACCCCTGATTTAATTGGGATAACTTCGCCCAGAATTCACAGCCCTATACAGTATCTGGAAGGCATCCAGCTGGAGAAAATGGGTTGTTATAGGTTGTTATAATTTGTTTCCCAAATATAGGTTGTTATAATTTGTTTCCCAAATATAGGTTGTTATAATTTGTTTCCCAAATATAGAATAACCAAGTTGGAAGGGACCTTGGAGGTCATCTAGTCCAAACCCCTGCTCAGGCAGGAAACCCTATACCATTTCAGACAAATGGCTGTCCAATCTCTTCTTAAAAACCTCCAGTGTTGGAGCATCCACAGCTTCTGGAGGCAGGTTGTTCCACTGGTTAATTGTTCTAACTGTCAGGAAGTTTCTCCTTAGTTCTAGGTTGCTTCTCTCCTGGATTAGTTTCCATCCATTACCTCTTGTCCTGTCCTCAGATGCTTTGGAGACTAGGTCGACCCCCTCTTCTCCGTGACAGCCCCTCTGTCAACTCTCAAACGATCTTGGCTGCAGCCATCTTCACTTCGTTTTCGGTTGCCACAGTAACGGGAAGGGGGGAGATGTATTCTTTTAGTTTAGACATAACAATAACTTTCCTGTGGGAACCAAGGTCAAGCTACTTACGTTTTGGCGTTTCACATTGCAGGGGTGGGAAGTTCAACTTGTTACTTTTGAGCCTGGGGGGGGGAGAGGGAACTTTCAGTCTTGGTTTCACCTTTGTTTGTGCCGATACTACGTAGCCATTAAATGTGTTCTTTGAGGAAAGCAATTGCCTCGGAGTTCTTATTTCTACAGGTCTCATCTGTCGGAACCATGACATTCTCAAATATTGGAAAGAATGCTATCATGTCACCCCTAGTCCTTCCCTTACGTTTATGATGCAGTTTGATCAAATGTTATTATGCAGCTTGCAAATCAAAAAAACAACACAGGGAAAAAAACATTATTGGGGAAATGATTATGTAGCTTGTAAAAGTGCAGAGTGGGTACGGACATTTCAGTACTGAGTTCAAATTTTAACAAGAGGATAAATAATTTTGATCAGTCAGACGCTATATATATGAAGCCACATATGAGCTTCATACTAGGCCAGTGGTGGCGAACCTATGGCACGGGTGCCACAGGTGGCACTCAGAGCCCTCTGTGTGGGCACACGCGCCGTCACCCCAGTCCTAGGCCTTCAGCTGGGTTTTATAAAACCTTTTCACTTTAGGCCTCCACCGCCGTGTGCAAAAAAAAAAAAAGTTCAGTCAGTCAATTTCAACTTCTCGCGGGGAAAAAAAAGATCTTGCAAAGTTGGAATTGATTGATTGAATTGCCGTTACCATTGCAGCCATGCCCACCCAAGGGCCATGCCCACCCGGCACTCGACGATGCATAAGTGGGTTTTGGGTTGCAGTTTGGGCACTCGGTCTCTAAAAGGTTCGCCATCACTGTACTAGGCTAAGGTTGGACCTAATCTTATTGCCTGTTGACTAAGAACTTTTAACAGCTGGAGTTTTGCAAGAATACTTGTGCGGTTTACCAATAGATCAGAGGGACAAAACAAGTGTGGTTTATCATTAAACCACAACCTGGACCAGGCAAACTTTCAAATAGAGAACAATCCTTGGTAAAATTGATGACATGGACCATGTCATGAAGGGAAGAGCTGATCAAATTAAATGTGTGAACTCATGCATTTAAGCGTGGGACTTGTTTAGAACTTATCCTGGAAATATGAAGCAAAGAGGTCAATAGATCACCGAGCAAGTGTTGAAAGAATAAGGCGCAAGGTAATTGGAGAACCTGCATTAATTTGCATTAATTTGCATACCAGATAAGCCAGGTTCTTTGGGGAAATAAGCACAGTATTTGACTTGTAACCATGACGGTGAGGATTGCAAAAATGTAATTGTTACAATAGAGTTGTTAGATGTATACGTGACACAAATGTCAAGACGGTGGCCACCACAGCTTGAGTGAAGCCCCACCTCTTTTTTATATGTAACACATATCAAAAAGAGACAGGACTTTCGGGCTATTATCTTGATTTCTTTGGCAAAGGAAGAATCTCAATGCCTGCCAGTTCCCTTATTTTACAGTAATAATGTATGTGCATGTGGATAGTGCTTGATTTGAGGTTATTTTACTTTCTCTTTCCCTCTCTGTTGTCTGTTGTTTCCAGATGCATCATCCCATTCAGATGAAACCTGCAGATAGTGAAAAGTCCAACGGTAGGTGATAAAATAATTTTTATACCTAAATATATATTCGTTCATCCATTTCCTATCCCACTGCCCTCAGAGAAGACCCTTAGAGCGCTCACAGGAATAAGCCAAACACAATAGTCAAACCAAAAAGCTTACCAATGAATTTAAACACCCCAGAAACAATACATTGCGTCAGATATCGAGAACTCTATTTTCCAGAAGGCCAATACAGGTAGTCCTCGACTTAACAATCGTTCGTTTAGTGACCATTTGAAGTTACAACCGCACTGAAAAAAAGCGACTGATGACCTTTTTTCACTCTTACGACCGTTGCATCATCTCCATGGTACACGTGATCAAAATTCAGACGCCTGGCAACCGACTCATATTTATGACGGTTGCCATGTCCCGGGCGGGGGGGGTCACGCGATCCCCTTTTGCGACCTTCTGACAAGCAAAGTCAACGGGGGAAGCCAGATTTCGCTTAACGGCCGTGTTACTCACATAACAACTGCAGGGATAAAAGCCATCCAATGGGGCAACTGTCTCGCTTAGCAACGTGAATTTGGGGGCTCAGTTGCGGTTGTAGGTCGAGGACTATCTGTATAAAGGAGCCTTGATTCTTACAGTTTTGCTGAGAGAAAAGAGAAGAGATAAAGTCAAAAGAAAACCTCCTTGTTCCTTCAGCTGTGAAAACTTATCTATTCCCGCATGGAAGAATTGCTCGCTGCCGTGGCTTTTTTCCAGGATGTGTCTTTAATCCTCATTCATTATTAATCAGGGCAAAAGCCATGCACTTGGAGATTTAAATACTTGCAAATGTAAATGATGGCTGGGCCCATGTCTCTCTCCCTCTCTCTCTCTCTGTCTCTGTCTCTCTGCAGAGAGATAGGCAAGTTTTATTTTGTTCCTTTAAAAAAAAAACACACAACCCTGTTTTGGAGAGGTGAGGTCCTCATTATCATGCATCCTGATGTCTCGGTTCTCCACGGATCCCCGCAAAGCTCAGAAAAGAACACAAACTGCACTTGGCTTTGACATTCTTAAAAAGAGCGCTTATGTGACCACAGAAAACACCACGACGAAACAGGCTTGGGCTAAAACGGTCAGACCTGCTCCAGTCTGATCTCCTAGGAAAGTAAAATTCTCGATTCCCTTTGATTGAAGTGAAAAAGTATTTCTACTAAGACAGGGGTAGGCAACCTTGGCTCTTTTATGACTGGTGGACTTCAACTCCCAGAATTCCTGAGCCAGCGTGGCTCAGCATGGAAACCTCTCCCTTTTCCCTCAGTGTGGCTGGCTCAGGAATTCTGGGAGTTGAAGTCCACCAGTCATAAAAGAGCCAAGGTTGCCTACCCCTGGACTAAGAGATGTTGATTGGGGTAGGGTCAGGTGGAATCGGAGGTTCCCACCCATCAGTACGAAACTAACCCCTCGGTTGCCCCCAGCCCTCCCCCCCATAGTCCGTCCTTGGGTAGCCAATCTGGCACCACCCGCCAAGATGTTTTGAGAAGAGCTGAGGTGTTAAGGCGGGTGAAATCCCATTTTCAGGATACGCGGCCTTGAAGATGCTGGCATGGACCGGATTCCAAAATGCTGTTCTTCCTCAACTGTCAATCCCCCCCCCCGCATCCCAATTTCCCACCATAAAGGTATACAGCTTTATTGCCCATTTGTTCCCCAATTGATGGCGGGATGCCAGTGAGGCGCCAAGCCTTTGGTTGACACCCCTTCACGAAAGAAGGCCTTGTCAAACCAAAGGTCTTCTTTTTTTTTTTTATTAAAAGTTTTATGAAGATTACAGTATAAACCCCCACCCACCCCAAAACCCTTCCCTCTTCCTCCCCCACTTCCCAGAGCTGAACACAGGGTTACAAATATAATAATCAAAATCTATCTAGCATTAACCAACTATTAAAATAACCAAGTCCATAATGCGCTTTAACACCCCTTTAACACAAATTTAAAAAACCAAAGGTCTTCTTGAACAGAGGAAGCCACAGTAGATCAACTTGCAAGCCAAAGAGATCTTATGGTTTTAAGAATAACCCTTGCACCACACCATTGGGGTTCTGAGACTTATGACCATTTTTCACACTTATGACCATTGCAACATCCCCATGGTCACGGGATCGAAATTCAGACGCTTGGCAACCGACACATATTTATAACGGTTGCGGTGTCCAGGGATCACATAATCCACCTTTTGCGGCCTTCTGACAAGCAAAATCAATCAGATTCACTTAATAACTGTGTTATAACACCTGCAGTGATTTACTTAAGAACTGTGGCAAGAAAGGTCATAAAATGGGGCAAAACTCACTTAATGTTTTTCTTAGCAATGGAAATTTTGGGCCCAGTTGTGATCGTAAGTCGAGGACTATCTATAGTCAGTTTTTAATCCTGGTTTCCTGATTTTTGAGTTATATCCAGAGTCCAAAAGAAAATAGCTTTCCAAATGGGCTAAGTAACTTTCAAAAGTGGCCTTTTTGTTTATTTTTTTGCTTTTTTCTTAAAGAAATAGTGCAAATGAAAAAAAAAATCAGCTTTTCTTCTGTTCTAAAATACCATCTCAGGTTTGTCATCTTTCAGCCTGCATTTTTGTAAACCAGCTACAAGTCGACTGACACCCTAAGAAAATATAAAATATTGAAATGGAAATTCATCCATTTATGTATATGTGATTTTGACAATTCAAATTTAGTGCAGGTTGTGTACAATCGATTTCTACAAGGGATCCTTTGGCTTTTTTAAACCTCTTATTGTTAACATCTTTTGAAAATTTATTATATTTGAATGATTCTCTTTGCTGATTTCTCTGGGGGATTGGCGCAGACTGCAAGCCATATACCAACAATTCAAGTGAAATTAAAAATTAATTTATCTGCATTTGCTTGATCCTGTGCTCAAACAGTTAGGTATTTAAATCTACTTGAAAATTAGAGGATTGATATCAGATACCTGTTATGTAAAAAAGGAAGAGTTAAGAACTTTCACATAAATGAAAGCATTTTCTATTTTAAAATATATTTTTCACAGACGAAAAAAGAAAGAAAGCAACAGGGGTTGGAGGAGAAAGGAAAAAATCCTTAATCCTATTTTACATAAAAGCTTCCTGCCCCTTTTTTTCACTCTTGCAATCTGCCATAGTCTACCTGGATGCAATGTTGCCTGAATTAATTAACAACTTCCCCTGTCGTGTATTAATGCTAACATATGGCATTTAATTACTGCTACCAACTCAGCACTTTGTCCTTTCAAAATTTCCAATCTTTTCTTCCAAGTTTCTGCAAAGTCCTAGAACAGCTGCCCTGCTGGTCGTCCTTAATTTCCTTTTTCTGTGAGTCATGAGTTTTCTCTTGAGTTGTTTACAAGCCACCAGACAGTGTAGCTATTATTTGATACCGCTATAAAGTTTTGGAGATGCTCTCATAAAATCAGTTGTAGAAGAGCTTTGCCAATCCCAAAGAGCCAGTGATTTTGGTGGTTTTGTTAGGTGCAAGGAGTCTGAACAAAAGTTCAAAAGATTTATTGGTCATGCCTATACATAAGAATTTAGTCAACTAAAGTTCAATACTAAATTGGCACCAGATAAGGGTCAAAGGAATTCAAGAGGGATTTGACTTACACATTTGTGGGAACATAACGGTTCTAGGCTAGTGACTCATTTAACTCTGCCCCTAGCTCTGCTTACTCTTCTCCTATAGCAGACATGTCAAACACAAGGCCCGGGGGCTGGATGCAGCCCGTGAAGTGTTTTCATGTGGTCCACGAAGCCATCCTGGAAACAGTGAGGGAACGGCCCCCGCTGCCTTGGCCCTGGCCCAGGCCAGCCAGGAGCCAATGTACAATTTTGTGGTGGCCATCTATGCTGAAACGCATTCAGTCTTAGCTCCACAAGGCCGTCTGGAAACAGTGAGGAACCAGCCCCTGCCGCATCACCCCTGGCCCCTGGGTGCATGCTGGGGAGGTGTCACCCTTTGTGAGGAATGAAGAAATGCACCATCGCCTGAAAGTGGCCAGCAAATGGCCCTCGCCTACTTCACAGTTCTGGAGAACTGAAGAAACTTCTTAGATGAGAAGCGAAACGTCTTCAAGAAAAAACAAATTCCAGTTGCCTTTTGAAAAAGCACCTTTGGGTAGTTCAGTTATGCTTCCCGGATCCCTTAGATGTCTTAGTCCAGGGGTAGGCAACCTTGGCTCTTTTATGACTCGTGGACTTCAACTCCCAGAATTCCTGAGCCAGCATGACTCAGCTTGGAAACCTCTCCCTTTCCCCTCAGCATGGCTGGCTCAGGGATTCTGGGAGTTGAAGTCCACGAGTCATAAAAGAGCCAAGGTTGCCTACTCCTGTCTTAGTCAATGAATCTGACTACAATTCAGGCCAATGGGAATTATAATCTAAGATTGAGAAACCGTGGTTTTAATACCAGATCAATAGGAGGGTTAAACAAATCCTTGTATGAAGTATGATGGCCTTGGGGTTAACTGCTGTGTTTCCCAGGCCAAGGAATGCTAGTTAAAAATCAGGGTCTCCTTGTTCACATACAAAGAATTTAAAACATTATGTCAGATTAAAGTATTGGTTGGTTGTTTTCTTTCACCGAAAACAAATGAAACATTTTTTGTTTACTGAAGAAAATGAATTTGCAGGCCCAAATACTACCAACTGTTTCCAATTGATCCTTCAGCTGCCTTTGTAAACCAGACATATATTGAGGTTTGTTTTGTTTTTTTAGTTCTGAGTCAGTTCTTTGGATGTTTAATTTACTATGAGATCAGCCTCCAGCTAAAAAACTGTGAAATCCTTTTAGTTAATTTGCCCTATTTATCAGTTTACTGGTGGAACTTGAGCAGGCCAAGAAGGAATCTGCCATTGACAGCAGTTTTGGAAAATTAAGGACAAAACCCTTGCATTTTTGTTCCACAGGGTGAAACAAAACAACTTTACATGTAAACAGGCCTGAAATTAAAAAAGAAAAAAGGAAGCTGAATTGCAGATTATTCCTTGACTTTTCCTGCTCCTCTTCTACAAGCATACACTTTTAATAGAATTTATCATAAGGCTTGTTCTGTTTAGGCAAATTGTTTACCTTTGAAGTACAGGTTAGGGCTGAGTGGTGAGTTGAATTACACACAAAAAAAAACCCTTGGTGTTATTTAATACAGTAACATGTTTACCAAGCTGTAACTATGGGGCTCAATATCAAGTCATTTTCCTCTGAAGTGGAGTGAATTTTAATAGATATTCTGATGGCACTCTGTGTATTGCACGGGCAGAAATATCCTTTCTGATCCATAACAGTTGCTCACAATAGGGAAAGCATGCAAACATACAGGGGACAAGTAGATAGTTTGCTATGTGTTTACTATATGAGAAGCACGGTGCATGGTAATTAGTGCAAGACTGTAATTTAGTAGTGTTTGGACACATGGAAGTTTGAAGTGTTACACAAAATGACACCACAGATGCTGGCACTAATCCACCTTCTAACTCTTCCCAATTTTCATGATATCCAAAGGAGACCAATATCTTCATTCACTAGAAAGCTCGCATGTGTTGGGACTATATTACAGAGCTATTAAAGCTGCCCTGTCATGTGACTTTCTCCTATCCTACAAACCATAAAGGGAGTGAAAATGAATATCAGGAAGCCAGATCAGTGGAGGAAACCACATGTTGTATGTGGTTTTGAAGACCTCACATAGTCGGACAAACATCCAAACAAGAGTTTTGTCCAGACGTGTTTATGTCATGTTGTTCCTGGACTGTACATGTGATTATGGTATTACAATGACTTGTTTTACAGTGGGCAGTCTTCTGTCTCAAAGGACCACCTTTTATGAAAAGGGGAATTCACTGACAATGGGATTTTCCCATATATTTATCTGTGATCCAAAAACAACTCCTAACGAAAAGCTGTCACCATCTTTTTCCTTAGAAAACGGCTAAGAATATATCCTGAACAACAGTTTTCAGCCATGACTCAAAGCATCATCTAACCCTGACTCCAACCCTAGATTCATTTTCATTGGCACTGGGATTCTCCCATATATTTATCTGTGATCCAGAAACGACTCCAAACGAAAAGCTGTCACCGTCTCTTTCCTTAGAAAACCACTAGGAATCTATCCCTCGCGTTAGTTTTTTGTCCATCAGTCTAAGACCCTAACCCTAGATTCATTTTCATTGGCACTGGGATTCAAATACCTGAACGACCGGTTCTCTGCGTGGATGCAGGCCTGCGCCTACGAGGCCCAGAATGGACTTCAAGAAATGACATACACACACTTTCTGTGGGCCATTCTAGGGCTGGGAGGCCTCCTTTAGGCCTCCAAGGCCTAGAACGGACTTCCAGAAGCAATGTGGGTTCAGCTGGTTCTCCGAACTCAACAACGTTTAGCTACTGGTTCTCCTGAACCGGTGCAAACTGGCTGAATCCCACCACTAATCGGATGGCACTGAGGATCTGACAGCACGGCTCACCCCTCAAGTGTTCCTCGTTCTGATTCACGAAAACACCTTCTTTCAGAAGGCCCTGGTTTTAAGTGAAAAGATCCCAAGATCACCCCGTTGATTTCTTTGTTTGTGACGCTACCCATGGACCAGGCAGGAGTAAAGTGCTGTGGTGTGTGTCCCCTTAACTAAGAAACTTGAAAGCCAAAATACAGGTAGCTGGGGAACTTTGGGAGTTGAAGCCCACGCATCTTAAAATTGCCAAGTTTTTTTTTTTAAAAAAAAAACCACTACCTAAGGAATCTCCTTTCAAAGTTCCACTTGGTTTCCAAGCCCCATGTCAGTGAGGTGCTTCTAAACAGATTCTACATCAGCAATAAATGTTCAATTAATTCAGTGAAGGGTCCTTGGTGCTCTCTGAGCTTGCTTGTTTTCTTGCAGACGTTTCATTACCCTAACTAGGTAACATCATCAGTGTTAGTAAGGAGTGCAGTTTGCTGTCAGTTTATATTCTGGTGTCTTCCCTATCTGTGTGGGTGGGGGCGGTCTTAGGGATTCTTTGGTTGGGCTGTTTACTGATGGTTCTTTGGCAGTTTCTTAATTGGGGTATTGCTTACTTGATTGTTAGTCCTGATGAGAATAGGAATAGAATATGGAATATAGAATATAGAATATAGAATATAGAATTGGAATAGAATAGAATAGAATAGAATAGAATAGAATAGAATAGAATAGAATAGAATAGAATAGAATAGAATAGGGGATAGAATAGAATAGAATAGAATAGAATAGAATAGAATAGAATAGAATAGAATAGAATAGAATAGAATAGAATAGGGGATCGAATCAAATAGAATAGAATAGAATAGAATAGAATAGAATAGAATAGAATAGAAGGGACCTTGGAGGTCTTCTAGTCCAGCCCCCTGCTCAAGGAGGAGAACCTATACCAATGACGGCGAACCTTTTAGAGACTGAGTGCCCAAACTGCAACCCAAAACCCTCTTATGCGTGGGTGTGGCCCATTGGCTGGGTGTGGCCCATTGGCTGGGCGTGGCTGCGGTGATAACGGCAGACTGGGTGGGACTAAAAAGTTCAATCAATCAATTCCAACTTTGCAAGATCTTTTTTTTCCCACGAGAAGTTGAAATTGACTGATTGATTGAACCTTTTTTTGTGTGTGTACACGGCGGCGGAGGCCTAAAACGAAAAGGTTTTATAAAACCCAGCTGAAGGCCTAGGACTGGGGTGACAGCGCGTGTGCCCACAGAGAGGGCTCTGAGTGCCGCCTCCGGCACCCGTGCCATAGGTTCGCCACCACTGCCCTATACCATCTCAGACAGGTGATTGTCTAGTCTCTTATTAAAAAAACTCCAGTGATGGAGCGCCCACGATTTCTGGGGGTAAGCTGTTCCACTGTTCCATTCTAGTTAGGGTAATGAAACATCTGCAAGAAAACAACTAAGCTCAGAGAGCACCAAGGACCTCTTGTTTCAACCCTGAGCTACAAATATTCTCCTTCAATTAATTCAGTCCTTGCTTATTTCCAAGCTCTGTAAATTTAAAGCTTCTGAATGTGCGTTTGCTGAAGTTTGCCTGGACACACAGAGCTGTTGCCTTGACCTAGTTTCTTCTCTTTCTTTTCCTTTTGGCTTCTTCATCTCAAGCGAAATAATCTAGCAGTAATTTAACCCCACCTAATCCCACTTCTTCTCTTTGCCAGCCCGGCATCGCAAATCTGCTGGGATTTTATTTACCCTGAAATAATTTTATAATAACACTTCCTTGAAGTGTTTCTCCGGTCTAATGAGCATACTCGCTAACAACGTCTGCATGAAATAAGAATACCTGGATCATTATAGGTAAAAAGGCTGCCTTGGGATTCCGCTAAGCCATTTCATTTTGAGCATTCGGGCATCACTTTTGTTCCCGATTTCTCTTTCATATAGGCGCAGGCAAGGCGGGGCAAGATTGTAGGTAAGTTAGAACAGGCTCACTCTTTGGTCCTACTCGCCAACATTTAGCCTTGAATACTAGGTAGGTTTTCTGTTTCAACGGTGATACGAGAGGTAAAAAACCTAACTGCCTCTCCCCCCAGTCTATAAATTGTCCAAAATAGCAAACGTCGGTGTAAGAAGAACAAGTGATACTAAAAGTAATGGGAACACTCTTCAGAGGAAAGGCAGGTGATTCAGGGAAGTGTTGTTTGTTGTGTGAAATGTTTTCCACCTGCCTTGTCACCAGGGACAGTGCCATGCTCACAACTCTTGTCGCTTGCTTTTGATGTGGTAATAAGCATTGTTCGCAGTTGAGGAAAGTGCAAAAGAGAGAGAAAGATGCCTTTTGCCGTTGTGGATATTATTAGTATTATTATTTTAATCTTCTAGCTGTGGAAGACAGAAAATTGTTCATAGGAATGGTTTCGAAGAAGTGTAATGAGAACGATATCAGAGTGATGTTTTCTCCATTTGGCCAGATAGAAGAATGCCGAATCCTTCGGGGACCAGACGGACTCAGCAGAGGTGAGCATACACCGTCTTATAAGGCCCTCTTGTTTTAAAAGGCGAGGTAGAGTTGGGGGGGTGTAGTAGATGGGGTGGGGGAAACAGAACTGGTTGATCAAGATCAAGGTTAAGCTCAGATGTCCTGGGACAAGCCCTATTTTATAGAACTTCAGCAGAATTTTATTAAACGTCTACAGAAATTCTATTGGGTCTTGTCTCCCAATGTTTAGCCAGACAGTTCTGGATTGAGGGGTGGGCTGTAGTTAATATTCATATACCTTGCATTTCCCTGTGGGTTGTTTCCCCTCTTTCTCTTCAACCCAGACTTTCCAAAGAAGAGTTAAAAGACAGGTTTTGTTTTCCCTCTTATGTGTATCCCCAGGAATTCAGCTTTCTTGATAGGAATTGGAAATAAGAGCAGGTCCTTAAAGTATTTGTTTTCTGAATTTGTTCCCCTGCCCTGTTGACCTCCACATTTCAATATAGCTCTGTCTGCTGGCTGCACATCTTCATCGGATCCCCCTGGCCCTGAGTATTGCTTCTTGATCACACCTGAGAAAGATGCAATATTCGAAACTAATCTTTAGGTATTTCAACTGGGCAACACAGTTGAAGATTTGTAACTAAGGAGAGCAAAGAACCACTTGTTTTGCTAGCACATTTGGATAGTACAGCCTGGTCCTGACCCTAGATTTTCAGAAAAAAAAAATATATAAGTGATTCTCAAGGGTTGATTTAGTGCAGATCTGAAGTTTGAAGAGACTGAGAAGAACCTTCTGTGGGTGACTGTGTGAAGGTTCTCAATATGTATGATTAACAACTCGGTCTGATTCACATCTCACTGAGTTGTTCATTCAGCCTTATTCCCAATTTTTTGAATAAGATTATTACAACTGTAGCTACCTATTCACATTTAGTCTGTTAGAAAAGCAAGGCCATATTCCCTATCTAGGGTAAGGTTCCTGCAGAGATAGTTTACACACACACACACACACACAGAGAGAGAGAGAGAGAGAGAGAGAGAGAGAGAGAGAGAGAGAGAGATTACAGGCATATATAAGCTATCTTTCCTCCAAGAACTCAAGCTAACAAATGCAATTCTTTCTCCATGTTTATACATTTTCTTCTGATCCTCTGCTTTCATCCTTGCAACACCCCTTCTGTAAATTAGGCTGAGAGAAGTCATCCAGGGAATTTAATGATTAAGTAGGGATAAGGCCTATCAAAGCCCCAGCCCGGTTCAGGAAATAACCCACAAAGAATATTTGCTACAATAAACATTTAAAACCCAGTGAATATCGACATTTACTGCTTTAAGGCTGTATACGCTGAGAGAGAAATGATCCTGACATTTTACTGGTGAGTGTTGATGCTCTATGAGAGAACAACACAGATTTGATCATTTACAGCACAGAAATGCAACCAGCAGGGGGTTCAATGTAGCTTCAGAAGCCTTCTAAAGATAATCAATTCAGGACTGTTACCTTCCCCTTTAGTAACCAAGATGATAAGAAAGCAAGGGGGGGGGGAAGGAGAGAGAGAGAGGTGGAGAGAGAGATAAAAATATTGACACGATCCATCTTTCACAGACTACCCAGTCCATCATCATCACCACACCTTAATTAGATTATCCCCAAGGATAATCCAGCCTTCATCCAATAAAATTTCCACATTCCTGGTTTTTAGGGAAGAGAGATGCAGAACAGGGTCATGTCTCAAAATCTTCTTAAGACTCACTGGTAAACATCAAGTATCACCAAGTTTTTGACATTTCACTGTAACCTGGTAGCCATCTAAATACATGCTGAGCATTTTTCACAATGGGCAAACTCATCGAAGACTAAGTTAGATATATATTGATAAGTCACTATCTGATTCCATAGCAATTTCTGTCCTTTGTTTTAAACGAAAGTACATTCCTGTATTTACAAGGAAGTCTGCACATTTAAAAAAAAAATTATTAAAAAAAATCTGGCCGCCTTATGAACAACACTCTGGCGAATTATTTAAATTCTTTTTCAGATAAATGTTTATTTCTGATTTATTCTGCTTTAGTTGACATGAGTCAAGACATTTTCACCATTGGCAACCCAACTTTGCTCCCTTCTGCCTTTTCATTCATTAGAGATAACAGAATAACAGAGTTGGAAGGGACCTTGGAGGTCTTCTAGTCCAACCCCCTGCAGTTTCCTAGTCCTTATTAGCACGATAGATTTGAATACGTCCAGACATAAGGACTAGAAACCCAAAAAGCAGAAATTTAATAAATGCTATGCTGTGTTCCATGCTTATGTGATAACCATTTGATTACCCACATTGACAAAAGCTATTATATAGAGTCCAGGCAATAATATACTTGAATCAATTATAAACCAATAATGAAAGTCTGAATCGGAAGTAATCCTATTGTTGAGTTCAAACCTTCTAACCCAACTATCTCACTTCAAAAGCCTCAGAGGAATAAATAGGAGACTACAGAGTTATCAGGCTTAAATATCTTGAAGGGCAACAAAATTAAATCAGTATAATAGAATCATAGTTTATGCATTTTATTACATATCCTGTATACATTCAAATAAGTTATGCTGACATCATTTCTGAAAATACCAGCATATTATATTTATTTTTATATATTTGTATAAATATATAAAATATACACATACACACACACATTCTTGAAAAGGAAAATTCTTATTGGTTTATGGATACAATGAGCATTATTTAAATTAGAAGTGGAGGGAGTTTTCTGCATATTGTGTCTTCGCCGGTATCTGTGTAACTTTATATTTTATGTGTTGCACTGTTAGAACATTGTCAGAGGTATAAAACAAGCATTTGTGAATTAGAGCAGGTAACATGCAGTGCATTCTATATGAAAGCTTGTATATTGGGAAGGTAGCTTTCTCCTTAATCCTTCATTCTTGAATAGCACTTCCTTTTAAAACTACCTCTAAAAAGGCTACGTTGGATTTCACCTGGAACAAAAGAGACCCTGAATCTATCAAAAGATATCTATGCCTATTAGAGAGCAGATGTTACAACAAGAGAGGCAGTTCCCCATTTAAAGAATAGGATCACTCTGGAAAACCCATTGAATTATGAATTCAATGTGGAGATGTAAAAAACTGAATTGTGGCAAGTGGTATCCATAATCCTCATTCTTTGCTAATATTGCTCCCGGTGTGAAATGATAGTAGGAGGAATATGTATTTGTGTATTCTTTATTTATTACTGTTATTTCAGTAGGCAACCTTGGCTCTTTTATGACTCGTGGACTTCAACTCCCAGAATTCCTGAGCCAACATGGCTCAGCTTGGAAACCTCTCCCTTTCCCCTCAGCATGGCTGGCTCAGGAATTCTGGGAGTTGAAGTCCACAAGTCATAAAAGAGCCGAGGTGGCCTACCCCTGAGCTAGGCCCAAAGCAGCCCACAAATAAATTGAGAATTTAATACCATGTCAAACAGCCCTTCCCAACTCTGCGTTTGACAGATAGGTTGGGTCTTCATGCTCCCTAGAATTTCCTAATACACCTCTACTGTCTTAGGTGGGTAAAGGCTGAGATAAAATACTAAAAATTATAAGGCCATAGTACAATCCAAACATATTTTTTTAAAAGAGAGGAGGGGGAGAGGCCAATTAATATATTACAGAATAGAAGTATCTTCTGTCGGTACCCCAGAAATCATAATAATGATGGCAGTCAAGGCTCTCCTGGAAAAGTCTTCCAGAAATTGAGCAGTTTATTTGAAATACTTCAAGGGAAGGCTCTCCCATGTCCCCTGCATGTTTTTTACATGGTAGATCTCTAAACCATTTCTCCCACAACTTTCTCTTGGGCGAAAGAACTGCAGAACCCAAAAGGGCCAGGGAAGCTGAGAAATTATTCCAAAGTATGTCTTCAGGAAATGGACATTTTAACTAAGAACTATCATAAAATATAGTGGTTTGCAGCATCAACAGCCGCTAAAAAGTCCAGGAGAATTAGAAAGATCTCATTGTTGCAGTTCCTCTCAGCAAGCATCTTTTGAGTGGCCAAATATTTTTCATCCCCCAAAGCCATTCTACAACAGGAGTGAAATAAATAAAAGATAATCATTTTCGTCCAAGAATGACAAAACCGATTGGCCCAAGGTAGCTTTCTTGGGGAACTGTCACGCAATAGCTTCTTTTATGAATCTGAATGCAGAAAGTGAGGCATTTAATGACTTCTTAAACAGCGATGCCACCTTTTCTAGATTTAGTAAGCCATAAAAGCAAAGATTAAGTATACAAACAATTGGGTGGATTTCAGTTTCCTAAAAATTACTCAATGATCCTGCCCAAGAATATCCAAGATGGCTCCCTTGACAATACTGCAGTGAGGGTAGAGTCAGGTATAAAAGTGAGAATCAACATCCTCCAATTTAAAATTAAAGGGATCGGGAGAAGGAACATTTCTTCTTTACTCCTTACCTTTTAACCACCTACAATATAGTGACCAAAAACTCTCAGGAAAATCAGCTCACCTTTTCCCTTGCATAATATGGGATGTGGATAAGAACTCGTAGGAGGAAATGGAAGAATAATAAGTTCTATAGAACTTATTGCCTCATGATCTAAGAATGATCTGGGGTATTCCACCACACTCGGCAAGGATGTGCTTCTTGGGAGGCCTAAGTGGAAATTTTGCTTACATTTCTAAGTTAATATATTTTAGGCAGAAAGTTGTTCGAGATCAGGTTATAGGAGGCTGCGTGCTAAAGAAAGTTAAATTTGGTCCATTAAACTCTTTTGATGGGGGTTTAAGATGGATGAGGTTATTCAAAAAATAAAGTCAGGGAACATAGAACCAGAGGTGGGTAGGAGTAGATAATTGCTTAAATAATTAATAAAAAATGTTTGAATAAATAATACATGATTTTCTGTTATTTTTATAGTTTTAAACTTTTTAATCTTAAATTAATTCTGATTTTAATGTTAGTTTTATCAGTTATATTGCACACCACCCAAATGTTCTCTATGAGGGAGATGAGCAGTT